ATATATATATATATATATATATATATATATATATATACATATATATATATATATATATATATATATATATATATATATATATACGGCGCTGCTCGACTTTCACTTTATTAGACTTTTCCAATTTAAATGTTCATCAAAAATCATTTCAAGTATTTTCATTGAAAAAACTTTTTATTTTAATATTGTTAATTGTTGTTCTGTTTTTCAGATTTAGATGGTTTAGCAACCAAAATATATTTCGTTTTATCAGTATTCAATAAAAGTTTATTTGCTATAAATCACTCATTAAGATATATCAGTTTTGTGTTTACATAATAAAAAAATATTTTTAAAATTTTAAGGAAACATTAGTGTCACCAGCAAAAATAATGAAATTAAATATTTTTGAGGATAAATAAATACCATTTATAAAAATTAAAAACAGCTAAGGTATAAATTTTGATCTTTGTGGAACACCGCAACTTATTGATTCAAATCGTGTGCATGTTAAGTAATATGCTACTCATTTTTAAGATAACATTGCAGCTACTTTAAGTTAGAGTGAACTACTCCATGTTTGCGTAGTTAATAGATAGGAATCTTGTGGTTGACAGTATCAAATGCTTTAGATAGATCTAGACTAATTCCGAGTGTGTAACTATTGTTTTCAAAACCATTCAAAATTTGATTCGCAAGAATAGTTTTTGCATGTTCCGTTGAATGATTTTTGCAAAAACCAAACTGTTTATGATAAAGAATGTTATTTTTTCACGATAACGTACAGTTTGTTGTGCATAAAACGCTTTAGTATTTTGGAAAAACAGTAAAGTATTGGTCTATAGCTAGATTTTATCGAGTCATTGTCGCTTTTGTATATTAATTTTGCTAATTCTAATTGATCAGAATAAAAGTTATAAAAAAAGTTTTTTCAATAATATCTGAGACTTCTTTTACAACATCAGGGTTAATTTAATCCAGTCCTGCACTCTTTTTTTTTTTTCCAGTATACTTATCGCAAGGCGAAGTTCAACAACTAAATGCTTCGAAACATCCATGACGGAATCTGATTTTTTCTCTCAGGAATATCACCGGCTAATTTTTTCCCTATATTTATGAAAAAGTCATTAAAAAGTTTTTGAATTTTTATTATTTTCAAAAGCATCTCCTCAATTGTCATATAATTACATTCTAAATTTTTCTTGTATTTCCAAATTTTTTTTGCTTAATAAGCAATAAAGAGTAGTAATTTTCTTTGGATTGCTCTTTGAACTTTTCAAAACTACATTTATATTTTTTTATTTTATTTCATTTTTGTAGCTTTTTTTTTTAAAATTTTTGGTACTGTTTTTGTTCCTTTTTTGACAACTTAACGAGTCCATCCACGGACATTTCCAAAATTAAAAAGAATAAATTTTTTTAATTTTAAAAATGCCGTTTTGAATTGCTTTGAGGATATGCGAATAAAAAAGTTGTACCCAATTTACTTCTTGTAAGAGATCGCGAAACTAAACGAGTGAATCATTATTTTTTTTTTTTACATATAAAATTTGTGTTTTTATTTTTTCTCAGGGGTAGCAGAATTTGTAATCAAAAAAATAGAAAACTGGTCAGTGATATCTGTTTTAATAATACCATATTGCATTTTAGCCCTTGTATAATTACCAATAATAATAATATTATTAATAACTAATGCAGTTGTTTATGCCACACGTGTTGGCTTGTTAACTATTCATAGGAAAAAACCTGTATTGCCAACCTATATTGTTTTACGAGCTTCGATACCAAGTAATTTAAGTGATTTTCAAATTGATTGCAGGGGATCAAGCTTCATGCCATCAAGGCGCCCATGATGGCATGAAGCTTCATTATACAGTATCCTGAAAACCAAAAAAAAAGTTTTGATATGGGTACATTCTTTTTTACATGTAAAATAATATTAACCCTAGAAGTTTCCATCATTTTTTTTTATTAGTTATTTTTATTTTAAAAAAAAGCACAAGTATGCCATCATAGGCAACTACTGCTCCTATGATGGCATAGACGAGGATGGGGCTGGTTAGCATCAAAGATAACTTGACAATTTCATTTGACCTTAAGTCTTCCCTCAGAAATGCCAGAAATTACGCGTAATCATCCTAATTAACCCTTTTGTATTACACAGCAGCAGTGTAGAATTTCGCTCATGCGCATAAGAGATATTAGGTTTTATGTGTTTTTTGAATCAAAAGTTTTTTAGTGAAGTAAAATTTCTTTTTACTTCGCTACAAAATATATTGTTTTTATGAAAAAATCATAGGAAAAAGTCATCATTTTCATTTAATGTCTGCTATGTCTGCCTTGTTCAAAAGATAAAATTAAAATAAGTATTCCACTAAATGTACAAAACATGGAAATAAAATGTATGAAATTTTATTTCTGTACTGTTGATAATAAAATCGCAACCTTAAGTATTTAAAGGGAATAAAAAAAAAACAACAGCACATCCCAAAATCAATTTTTGTTGATTATAAAAGCAATATTTCTGCATAACGGACGTATTTTTACTAAAACTATTGTAAATTTATTATAGACATGTTGATCTAATCACTTTTTAGCCATAACCAATATTTATGAAAATATGACCGGTGTGTCATCATGGGCGCTATGCCATGATTGACGCCTTTCCTCTAATTACCATTTGGCAATCTATATAATGTTGCTATAAATGTATTTTTATTTGTTTTATTAATTGTTTTAATAGTAAATGACTCACAATTAACTTCATTTTCTCGAAAGGTGATCTACATGCTTAAAAGTCAATGAGTTTTGAACAAAAATAGATACGCCTCCACCAATATTGACTGTCAAGTTGTGCACGTTTCTTTAATTTCTGTTAATTCTTTCAACATTCCATCGATTCTTTCATTTGTAATTTTTAAATTACCACTTTTTTTTTCACTTATTTTTATTTCACTTATTTTCATTTATAATTTTTTATATTACCACTTATAAGTTTGAAAATGTCTTTTTGCTGCTTTTAAAAATCTCAGAGAATATTTCTCGAACCAATTTCAGAGATTCAAGATTCGTATTTGATTGAATTTCTTTTTCATCGGTATTTTTTTTTTTTTTGCATTTTATTAACAAGTTATACAATACCAATATGTTTTTATTTAAAAATAATTATTTGTGTATATATATTTTTTTATTTCAAACAATCTAAAACTAATTTTTTTCAAAGTTCAAACAACCACGCTGAAGAAACACGTCTCTTGCTATTTTTTATTTGACTTGATTTAGAGTTATATTTTTTATTTCATTTTTTTGTTTTATTTGTATATTTTCTTTAAATAAGCGCTTCATTTTATAATTTACTCCTACAATATTGTAATTGTTGTTATCATTAGCTAGATGCCACTTCCTTGATTATATTTCTGTTTGAGTGACACCATCCTTATCAATCTCATACAATTTATTATTTGTACCTGCTTATCATTAGAATTTTTTCTAATACTTTTATATAACAATATATATTATGATTCTATTATAACTTTTAATGTTTGGTGTCACTTTGAGTAGTGTACTGGTATAAAGGAAGGTTATTAATCCTCACCTTCCCTCATTTTCAGGAATATAGGCGGCTAGTCGGTATTTGACACATTTCATTTGGCAGATTTTGAGGATCTTTTTTTTTATTAAAAGACAGTTGGCCCTTTTTTTATGTAATCACCCCTCCCCACTTTCTAATTTTATTTCAAAATCTCTGATGGCATTCATCCTTAAAAAAGATTTCCTAAGTATTTTAATTACATGATCATTATTTTTAATTTTTTACAAATTTTATTTATAACGTTATTTTTAATAATTTATTTTAAACCTAATGACGGTAAAAGTATTTTATATTACTTTATATATATTTTGCAACTGTTGAAGTTGTTAAATTACAACAAAAATTCCTCTCATATTGACGGTGAAAGTTTATGTGGAAATGTTAAAAACTTCTTGTTGGAGCTTTCTCTCCATCTACAAGATCATATAAAACTATATTGCTAAAAACTAAAATAAAACTATATTGCTAAAAACTAAAAACTATTATATAAATTAAACGCATTGCTATTTAGCCGATAACACTATCTTTGAAAACCGTTGAATTTCAATTTTGAACCCTTGATTGATTTTAACTTTTACAAAAATAGCCACGAGGCTATGTTTGCTTTTTATTGGCCTACCATTGTTATAAACAAAAGGAGTGTAAAAATGGATAGGTTTATAAAAAAAGATTGCTAACAATTGCTATAACGAATGGCAATTGTTATTACATATTTAGTAATAAAAAAAAATCATCCACTGAAATTAAATCGTGCACTAAAATATTTATTATATAAGCTGATCAGACTCGGCAGCTTTTTTTCGCTTAAAGGTAAAAAAAGTTCACTTTTTTACAAAATAAGCTAATTCAGATGACTTTATGCGTTATTAAAGATATATTTTTGAAGAAATACATATAAAAGTTTTTTGAAAAGTTTTAAAATTTTTTTTACTAGGAGTAAATAAGTTTTCAAGTTTTTTCTTCGTTTTTTATTGCGTTTTTCTCGAAATGACAAAATTATGATTTTAACGGTAGAGTGCCTATATGAAGAACATCCACAACAATCACATTAATACATCCGACCTAATGTTGAGATACCATTTTTAAAAAACTGTAGGTTTACTTTGATTTTAACCAGCAGAGACTCATTTTAACTAAATATAGAATTTTAAATTACTGTTTGTTTTAATTATATACCTTTTTTATTTTATTTATTTGTTTTTACTATATTTTATTCATGCTTTTTTTTTTATAAATCCTTCAAGTTTTCCTTTGTTTTTTGTTTTGTTTGCTCATCTATTTTTGTATACTTACAAATAGCAAGTTAAATTATGAGCAAAATACATTTGTATTGTAGAAGTTTCATTCAGAATCACTTCAAATATTTAAAATAAAGGTAAATTAACTTCTTACAACGTCATAAGGTATTTATATATTTTCTTATATTTTATAGATATGCGATGAAAATCGTTTACAAAAATTACAAAAAAGTTTGCTCAAGGTAATTTTTTATTTCATCTTAATTTAAACAACGTCTATTATTGTCAATTACATGGCGAAAATGAAAAAGTAGTCAAATTATCTTCTCTTATTTGTCAACTTTTAGTAAATGAATATTGATGTAGACACATGAAAATTTATTTAAAATAAACCTTTAGTACTAAAATTAATTTATTTAAGTCATTTTTATACTTCCGAAATTTACGGTTTTTCTAATTACAGCATGGTAAAAAAGTATCATTGTAAAATGTTTTTTAACCATAAATTTATTAGCATAATTAATTAATTTAGCATGAAAATGGAGCTAGCATGTTCAAATTGTTGTTGGTCAGATTTTATACTTTATAAATTGTATAAAATAACAAGTAAATATCAAAAGAACATTTGCAATTTTCCTGTAACGTAAGATAACAAAAACATGAGGTTTTGTTTTTTCTAAAATTTAGTTACAAAACTTTTTTTTTTTTAATAACATAAACAAAAGAATATTAAGTATAACGTTTTTTTTGTTTTATGTTTTGTTTACATTTGACGTAATATATATATATATATATATATATATATATATATATATATATATATATATATATATATATATATATATATATATATATATGTATATATATATATATATATATATATATATATATATATATATATATATATATATATATATATATGTATATATATATATATATATATATATATATATATATATATATATATATATATATACATATATATATATATATATATATATATATATATATATATATATATATATATATATATATATATATATATATACATATATATATATATATATATATATATATATATATATATATACATACATACATATATATATATATATATATAAATTACGTATTTTTAAAATTCAAACAAGGCTTTTAAAAGATCACAATGATCTTATCGTCAGAACCCTTTTACAAAAGAGAGTACAAAAAATATTATAAAAATGCCTTTTTACAACAAGAGTAGGTAAAAAATAATTAAAAAATGACATAAAAACAAGAAATCATACTTAGATAAATGAAATTAAATTGTAAACAAGTATAAGGCAAAACTTGAACATACTTGACAATACAAATCATTTTTTTATCACAAGATAAATTAAAGATATTTTCAAGAGAATGAGGTCTTTTAATTCATTTTTAAAAATAGAATAAGTTAGGAATAAGTCGAAGTTAGGTAAAATAATTTTGTTCCAAAGATGAGCTGCACGATAAGTGATACAAAATTGATTAAGTTTTGTTCGATTCAAATGGTTCATTTAAATAGTTATTATTCCTCATGTTAAACTTGTTTAATGGTTTCAAAATAAAAAGTCTTTGAAAATTAAAAGAGATAAGTCATTTAGCTTATATATATTTTCATTATATATATATTTTCATTTTCATTTGACTAAAAATATTAAGGAATGCGCGAACCGATCTGCAGAATTAATTAAACGGATCACATGTTTCTGATAGCGATAGAGACATTTTAACTTGCTTTAATCAGTTCTAGCCCAGGCAATAACCCCATCACTTATATAACTATGAATATAAGAGTAATAAAGTTTTGTTAAATTATTGTTATCTAAATGAGTACGCGCCTTATATAAAATTGCGATACTTTTTGAAACTTTCGAGCACACTTAGTTAATATGATGTTTCCATGTGATATTCTCATCAATTAAAAACACTAGCTATTTAGTTACAAAATCTCTTTTTATTTCAATATGGTCAATGAGAATTTTTAGTATTTAAATAGGTTTTGAAGTTCTTTGTTTATTATGGAGAATAGTGGATAGAGAGAAATAAGTTTGTGTCATTAGCAAACATAATACTTAGAAGATTTGATGCTTTATCCAAGTCGTTATATATATTAAAAACAAATGTATATTAAAAACAAAAGAGGGCCTAAGATGGAACCTTGTGTGTTCATAACAACCTTGTGTGTTCATAACAAGAACCTTGTGTGTTCATAACAAGAAGCACATTTTTTTCTGTTAGGTAAATAACTTTGAAACCAGTTGATTACTCTTTTATTTATTCCGTAATAATTAAGTTTATAAAATAAAAAATCATAATTGACAATATCAAATGATTTTGAAAGATCTCTAATTATTCCTAATGTGAATTGAGATTTTTCAAAAAAATTAGACCTGCTGAATAATTGCATGCTCAGTTGAGTTATTCTTTTTAAAGCCAAACTAATTGTTGTATAATAAATTATTTAAACTAAAAAAATTTTATATTATCTATACATTATTCTTTCTAGTATTTTTGAAAATATAGATAAGATAGAAATAGACCGGTAGTTACTAATGTCAGATTTGTTACCACCTTTGAATAGTAGAATAACTTTAGCAATTTTTTATTGATCACGAAAGATAACTTGTTCGATAGATGATTTAAAGACTTTTAAAAGAATATACTTTATTTGTTCAACGAAATCTAAAGTTATGTTACCATTAATTTCATCCGGTCCAACTGCATTATTTTTTTTTTTAGTAATTTAAAGACTTTTTGAATTCATCAAATAGTAATACTTTAGATAACTCATCCGAGTGAATGCAATTATCCATCGGTACTACGAAATCTTTAAATAAGGCTTCACTGTTGCGAATTAATATAGATAGTTTAGGGCCAATTTCAACAAAGAATTTATTAAATTCGTGAGCTATTGTTTGAGAATTATTTATATTATTGTTATCCACTTTGATTATGTGTGGCAGGGAATCTGAGCATGGAGTGTTTACAATTATTTTTTGCTTTATTGAGAATTTTAGAATAGTAACGCTTTTTTTAAAGTTTTTTCGAACTTTTTTTAATCTCTGTATATTTTCTCATTGGCGAATGATTTTTTTTTAAAAAATATTTTATGTATAATTTCTGCTTAACTTTTGATGATTTTTTTTTAAACCTTTGGTAACCCATGGAGAATTGATGTTTTTTTGATTTATTGTTTTTCATATAAAGGAAAATTGGCATCTTAAACAGAGTGTATTTAAAAAAATTGTATTTAAAAAATTATCGTAAATTTTTACATTTAAAATTTAAATAACGGATTTAGTTAAAACACATTTTTATTTTAAATTTGTGTAACGTAAGTTAAAACTGCATGCATTTATTGGAAGCAAGAACAAATCTCCCCCAAAAAATCCCGCCGGTAAAATCCCCTTGTAATTTCTTTCACAGCGCATAAAATAAACGATAAATTAAAATAATAGTTGTTTATAATATATATATATTTTATACATACATATTATAACACAAACAGAACCTTAATCCTTCATTTTTCATAAATCGACTGACAAATAGGTAAACATACATCAACTGATAAATAGGTAGAATAAGCAAGGAGTATTCAAACATCGATTGACAAATGTTCTAACATGCAAGGAGTGCCGCTACATTGAAGATCGTAGTTTGCCAATATAAATAGATGTATGCTATAGGGAGTAGAGGCTATAGCTTCCCTCTATGTGTGCATTGAGGGAAGCTATATCCTCTACTCCCTACTCCTGGGGGGGGACACCCTACACCCTCCCCTTTGGGACGGCCCTGTGTACACACATGCATGGACGTCCACAGGATTTTTGGATGTTCCAGATAGAAAACTATTACACATTGTGCAAACTGCAAACTTAATTATACTTATACCTATGCCAAATGAGGAGACCATGCAAAAATCGGGATGGCGGAAGCCTGGGAACAAAAAGCCCTAAAACGCTTGCTCCCGACCCCTCATTTTGGGGGTCAGAAAGTTTGCATGGTCATAACTATACCAACCGTTTATATACTGGCCCTCAGTAAGACGTATTTCAGGCAACCTATTTTTTGAGTCAACAAAAAACAGGTTTAGCAATGCCAAAGCTAATGGCATTAAAGGCATAGTGTCACTAGGGTCTCCAAATTTTACCGCTAGATTTTGCTTAAATAAAAAGCTCCTTAAATTAGCGAAAGGGTACAAAATTTGCTGCTTCTCCCCTACCCTAGTTTAAGGGGTAAGGGTAGCCTACCTTCGGCACCGTCTTTTGGGCTTTGTTTTCAAAATTATTGATCTCGCGTAAGACTAATTTTTTACGGACTTACTAAAGAGAAGTAACTGAAAAAAATGTTCGTCTTTAGTATAGTTTATTTTTATTTGATCCGTCATTAAAGCCAAAAAAAGTACAATATGAATTGCGGGGAAGCAAACTCCGGTCTCCGCGTTCGAAGTTCATAACATTAACCTCTCGGCCATGTATACATATAGGTCCTCGCACAAATAGCACAAATATAGGTCCAAGCCCAATATAGTCTCGGCCAAGCACACACATATAGTACCCTCTAGGCCAAGCATACATATTACGGAGGAATTTAGCTTTATCAAAATTATTATTCGTATATATTTAAAGACGTTTTTTAAATTGAGGTCCTGATGGGGTGGGGACTTGAAAGTACGCATGGCAACAGGGGGAAGAGAAGGGTAAAATTTCAATATTTTTGACGTACGTCATTAAGTAATTACTATTTCATTGCGTTGGTTTGACAAGGTTCCAACTGAAACTTTTTTTTTTATATTAGAAGAATTTAATATATATATATATATATATATATATATATATATATATATATATATATATATATATATATATATATATATATATATATATATATATATATATATATATATATATATATATATATATATATATATATATATATATATATATATATAATTGGAAGCATTGTATTGAATTTATTATTTTTCACTAACAATTTTTCGCAAATGGTACAATTCAGTTTGTAAATATGTTCAACACAATTTATGCAGATGAAAAATGATTCTATTTGAATGAAGAATCAGGAGATTGATGAATCTACTTGGAGATTAGTAAATCTGAACCCCATCGACATGTAAAATCAAAGAATTTTATTATAAAAACTATGTTTCTGGCCGCCGTTGCAAAAACAAAAATTAGTCCAACATACAAATAAATGGTTTAAT